TGTATCAGATAAATATTATTAAATTAATTATAAAATGTATTTTCATAATAAATTGATTTGGAGCCATAAATATATTTGTATTAACAAGGTGGATTGAAAAACACCATGTTTGTTTGGGCTTGTTTGGCTTATAAGCCATGGCTGAAAGTACTGTTGACTAGTTTGGTATGAGAGAAAAATATTATTCGTTGGCTGATAAGCCAAATACGACCCAGCGAACAGGCTGAAACAAGAAGGGGAACTCAGAAATGTCAAATTTCCCCCGGACCAAGTCAGTAATGAACGGTGAAGTTTTTTTTAATCTATGACATGAACGGTGAAGTTGGTGAAGGTGAGCCAGTTTTGAGAAAACGGTGATTCTGCCATTACGAAAACTGGGCTTCGCAATTTTGCCATCCCGCAAATGGGATTCGCCCGTTTGCCATTCTCAAACGATACACACCCGTAAATATGCCCTGTGGAGGATTTATTGCCAAATTAATTTTTTTACCATGGCAAACTTGCCTACCCGTTTTGCCCCTCCCTGATGCATCACGGAGGCCTTCTCTTCATTCACGGGAGACTCACGGTCGTTCCGACGGGAGCGCCGCCGCCAGTCAAGCGAGGAGAGAGGAACGGATCCCCGCCGCCGCAAAGACTGCCGCCGCCTCCGACGCCGCCGCCGACGGACGGTCATTGCAGGGCACCTCCTGGTTTCCCTGGCCGGCCAAAGGTCCGGCTCTGTCGAAGCGACATTGGTGTTTGCTCAAGTGGTGGATGGAGAACCGGCCAGATCTCTTCCAAGGGTGCGTATTCTTGCTTTCTTTGGTAATCTAAGCTGTGCCCAAGCGTGTAGATGAGACTCGACAAGTGTAGATGTGGTGGTAATCTAAGCTGTGCCACCTTTTTTTATTTCTTTACTAGGCTCGATAGGGGAGCATGACCTTAGCTTCTTTTTGGTAGAACCTCCCTGACAAAGAAATCTGTGCACCTCTTGTTGATTGGGATAGCCTAACGAGGACAATCGAGATGAAGAGGGAAGAATTGAGATTGTTGATGATGAGGTGATGTATGAGCTGTTGGGGTTTAGGGCTGACGATGAGGAGGTTGATAAGGCAAGAAAGGCAGCCAGTAAAGCTAGCAGTCAACAGAACGTCGATACTTGTCAGAGGACTGAAGAAATTGATACAACTGGGGCAGTCATTGAAGTTGATGACTATTTACCAGGGGAGAGGACTGTGGTGCACGATCCAAATCGGCCCAATATGGATCTTGGCACAGTTTATTCTAACATGAAGGAGTTTAGATTGGCGGTGAGACAATTTGCTATAAATAAAGAGTTTGAACTACGCGTTGTCAAAACAGATCCTGAAAGATATATTGGAGGTTGCAAGGGGAGAGAAGATTGTCATTGGCATCTTGTTGGGCGTAGACAGCCTGATGGGTGCACTGTTATGGTACTAACTTTCATTTTGCGTTCCATTAATTTTTTTCCTTCAATAATTTTAAGGCTGCCAATGTTTTTTGCCTTTCTATATTAGTTGCCTTGCCTAATTTTTTTTTGTTGTTGCGGTGGCAAGTGGTTGTTGATAAGCATACATGTGAATCAAGTGCTAGGAGGAAGACTACCACACCAACGATTGCTTGGGTTGCTTCAAAGGCAATACATCACCTTAGGAAGAAAGCACTATGGGCCCTAAGGGCGCAAAAAACTTTCTGGATGACCACAAGTGTATAATTCATTATGATACTATTTGTAGAGGTAGGCAAATTGCTTTGAGAGAATTGTATGGCAAATGGGAAGAGAGCTTTCAAACCTGCTATTCAATTGGAGGGCGAGAGGTCCTGAAGAGGTGTCCAGGTAGTGTTATTGAGATTGGCATCAAGGAGGTAGATGACAATTTCTATTTCCATAGATTTTTTTTGCATTGAAACCTTGCATTGAAGGTTTTTAGAAGGATTGAGCCATACCTTAGCATAGACTCTCTGCACTTAATGGTAGATGAAATGGTCATTTAAATTGCAGACTTGTGGTATAGATGGTCACTGGCTGGATGTACCCATTGCTTTTGGGTTCATTGATGGTGAGACAACAGATAAGCTGGACTTGGTTTATGATTTCGATTGCACAAGGCCATAGGAGATCTTCCTGTTTTAGCTATTTCGTCAGATGCGTGTAAAGGTCTAGAAAATGCAGTTAAGAATGTGTTTCCGCAGGCTGAACATAGGGAGTGCTTTAGACATCTAATGAACAATTTCATTAAAAGGTTTGGTGGTGATGTGTTCTCTAAGATGTATCCTGCAGCTAGAGCTTATAGAGAATCAGTTTTCAATTATTTTTACAAGTTAGTCATTGATGCTAGTCCTCAAGTGTTGGTTTGGATGGAGGCTCACCATTACAAGCTTTGGATGAGATCTGGCTTTAATCCTGAGATTAAATGTGATTATATCACTAATAACCTTGCTGAAGTGTTCAACAATTGGATCAGGGACTGGAAAGACCTTCCTGTTGTTGAGCTTGCAGACAAACTCAGAGAGATGATTATGGTGCTATGGGCGAAAAGGAGAAAAATTTCAGAAAGGCTTACTGGAAAGATCCTCCCAGCAGTGATACAACAGTTGAAAGCTAGAACTAGAGGACTTGGGCACTTGACTGTTATAGATGGTGGAAGTGCTGCAGCTGAAATTTGGGACACCACAAACACTCGCAGTAGACATGTTGTTAAGTCTTCTCTACATGAGTGCACCTGTCTTGAGTGGCAGCATACTGGTAAGCCTTGCCAGCATGCTTTGGCTTTGATTACAAGTGTACAGTCTAGTAATGTACATATGGAGGACTTTGTGCATGAGTATTACTTTGTTGAGAGGTTCATGGCAGCTTATAAGAGACTTATAGAGCCATTGCCTGATAAAACACAGTGGCCAGATGTTGATTTGCCTTTTGGGGTTAGGGCACCACTTGACAAGAGGACTGCTGGACGGTACAGAAAACTCAAGATCAAAAGCTTCCTTGAAGGTGGTGGTAGCAAAGGAAAGAAGGCAGCCAAGGAAGCAGCAAATGAGGCAGATAAACAAGCTGCAAATGAGGCAGAAAAGGGCAAGAAAAAAATGATTAGAGGCAAAAGAAAGTGCAAGGGATGTGAAGAATTAGGCCATGGTGAAACAAGCTACAAATGCCATCTTAATGGGACTAAGAAAAGGTAAGACCCAACTATATGTACTTGCTGCCATGACTTGTTTTGCTAACTAAATTAAATACTTTTTTGTCCAAACTTGCAGGAAAAGAAAGCCAAGAAAAAATACCACACCTAAAAGAAGTCAAAAATACAGGTCGATTCCAGAAAAACATCTTCATTTCATAGGACTTAGATGTCATTACAACACATTCTACAAATCAGTTACTAAACAGACCACCACCAGGAGTCGTACCCCACACTTCTAGAACACAGTTACTAAACAACTTCACTTGCTAATAAGCACTACCACACCTAAAAGAACTAGGACTACAATTAGTAAACACAGCACCACCAACAGCTGCACCAGAACGATAAGCTTGTCCATCTTGAGATCCATCCTCTCTTCCTCGTAAATCCTGCAATTAGGCTTCATTTCGACCAAGGCTTTAGTTTCACCATGACCTTCGTATGCTACTGCAGCTTGCATTTCTTCTTTTCATTTCTTTTCCATGTCTTCTTTAATCTTCTTTGCAACTACTTTCTTGTAAGCATCAATCCACCTAAAGAATGGATATTTCTTCATTGTCTGTGGAAATAACAATACATAACACAAACTATTTATCCAAATCTTGACACAGTACCTAGTTCATCCATTTCTATATGACAAAAACATATCATTATATACTCACAAATTCATCGTAGTTTACGCATTTGAAGAAAATTTTGCCGTTGTTCTTCCAGGATTTGCATTCCACTACTTTATTACCACATTCTGGGCATGGAATGAGGGGGATCCCGCTAGGGCCAAGTGGATACAGAGAAAGGGCAGCTGTTGGGATGAACGATGAACTAGACGAAGCCTCACCCATATCTGGCGTCGGGGCAGCGGCGGCGTCCTGGCGCGGACGCGTCGGGGCGGCGGCAGCGGCCTGGCGCGGACGCGGCGGCGGCCTAGCGCGGAGGCCGTGGCTGGGAAGGAAAGGGCCAAGGAGGTGGGCTGCTGTCGGCCATCGGCGGCATCGGCGGCGGTGGAGCAGTTCCCTCTGTTCGTCTTCGTCTCGTCTCTCTCCCGTTCTCTCCGTGCTCTCTCTCCCGTGAAGATACGGTGAATGAAAAGGAACGAAGGGATAAGGCTCAGAGGCAAAACGGGAAGAAAAAGATGTCGCAGCAAAAAAAAATTAATTTGACAACAAATCTTCCACATGGCATATTTGCAGGTGTGTATCGTTTGAGAATGGCAAATGGACGAATTCTATTTGCGGGATGACAAAATTATGAAGCCCAGTTTTCGTAATGGCAGAATCACCATTTTCTCGCCAGTTTTTGTCTCCCACATCCCTGATCCCCTCCCCCCGCGTCGACCCCGACTGGAGCGCGCGCGAGCGCACAGACACAGGACACGACCGAGCACGGAGCAACGCCGCCCTCCCCAGTAGCGCAGCCCGGCCGCGCGCCCACGCCCAAACCTGCCGGGCCGCGTCGCCGACTCGCCGCCTGTTACCATTCGCCTCTGTAGATCCGGCACGGTGCGCGGCTCCTCGCCGAGTTGTTCCCGGCGGCGCATCCGAAGGTGGGATCTCTGCTCCCGAGATCACTGGAGCACTCTCTTGGTTTCATCCGTAATCGCGCTGATTGACGCCGATTTCTCATCTCCGCAGGCTGTCTCCTGGGACCGGTTACTCGCGTGGCTCGCACGACACTCGGGGACTCTGACTTGGTACCAAACAGTATCTGCATCTTCTATCTTTGGATCTGGCCTTCGCCTCAGTTCAGCGAGCTGCGAAGAACAGCTTTGATTTGGTGCCCAAGTGATGTAGTGTGAGAGGCCGACTTCCTGAGAGCGTGATGAGCAGCCAGGGAGGATTCGGTACGGGGAGCCCCAAGTCCTTCCGCTACCCCCGAGGCGGCGACTTCGATCTCGAGTCCGGGTCCCCTCGCAAGGGCCGCAAGCCCAAGAACCCTCACCTCGAGACCTCGATCGTCATGAGGATCCGTTACTTCTACGAGGTGCACCCCGTGGCCGTCGCCCTCATCCTCCTCTCCTTCGGGCTCAGCGTCCTCGTCCTCCTCTCCGTGTACGAGACCCGGTTCAGGGCGATGAGGAGCGTCGGTGCGTGGTCCAGTGACGGCGGGGAGTACCCATTTCCAAAGCTCCGGAACCTTGTCATGGTGGCTGGGCATTCGATCTACACGAGCTCGAGATGCGGGGAGACTGAGAGTGAGAACTCCTGGTTCTTGGAGCCGTACCAGAAGCACCCTGGACAGGCGGCCACCTTCCTGGCTCACATCAAGGAGGGGGTGGCGATCGCGGCGAGGGATGAGGGCGCGCTCCTGTTGTTCAGCGGCGGGGAGACGAGGAGAGATGCTGGCCCGAGGAGCGAGGCGCAGAGCTATTGGGCTATTGCCGAGTCGAAAGGATGGTTTGGTGAGTTTTCGACAACTTCAACGTTTCTTGGTTGATGTACTTTAGTAAGATTTGTGCCATTGTGAGTCTCTGTTGCTCTAATCAAAGGTAGGATAGATTGTGCAATTGCTTATGACTGCTAACCTGTCAGTTGCTCTAGTAAAATGCAAAACAAACAAGCTTGTCTTTGGGGCTATATATTCATATGATAGTGATTTCAGAACTGAGAGTGGATGGTTCAAATGGTCACATTATGGTGCTTCATTATTCTCAATTCAAAATCATATTCTGTTTCTGTAAGGCACTAGCAATAGGCAAGGCCTAAAAGGCTGGGTTTCTGGTTATGTCAAAATATATAATTCAATGCACATTTCCACCTTTGCAACAAGGACAGTCAGACCATCTGATTATGTGCTCAAACAAGTTAATGTTTACTGAAGGTTAATGTTTTTTAACTTCCTCACTGTCATCACCATTTTGGTAGTTACACTTACACCCTATTTGTGCTTGCAGCTTGATCTTGATGTTTCTTTCATTTTCTTTATCACTGAATGACTTCTCAGTTGTCCTTCACTACTAACTTTATGTGTGGGCATGCACAGGAAATGATGAGAGTGTAAGGAGCCGAGCACTCACTGAGGAGCATGCACGAGATAGCTTTGAAAACCTCCTATTTAGTGTGTGCCGTTTCAGAGAGCTCACTGGAAGATACCCACAAAACATAACTGTAAGCCTTGCTTCTTTTGAAAACCTTGAATTAACTGTTTATTTATTAATACCAGTATAGTAATGGGTATTGATCTTCTGAAGTTTTAATTCAAGCTCTTTGAGTTCTGATTATTGCCATTCTCTAATCGGCACATTTGAACATTTGTTGCTTAGGTTGTTAGCTATGATTTCAAGGAGGAACGGTTTGCTCAATTGCACAGAACTGCACTCGGATTCCCAGAAGGCAGATTCTTCTTCACAGGTACACCAGCTACACCTTCCGCAAGGGAGGCTGCTCTGAAAGGTGAAGCAGCTGTCCGTTCTCAGTTCCTTGAAGACCCATATGGATGTCTAGGATCTCTTCATGTAAAGAGGCTGAAGAGGGACCCGTTCCACCGTACCATTCCATACCCTGATGGCTGCCCGGAGCTGAAGGGTCTGTTCTCCTATTGTGGCCCGGTGCCTTACTCCGGGCACCTCCCTTGGACTGAGTAGCTAGTGTAATGTACATCAATCTTGGATCGAGCTCCCCACTGTCACTGCACGATTCCAGCACCATTACACTGACCTTGTTCTGAATTGAGGGAAACATATTCAACCTTGCCTTCTGCATGAGGGGGAGGATTGCTTTTGCAATACAAGTATATGTTACACTATCAATATATATATTTTTTAACCTTTTTGTTTGTCCTCGATGACTTGTCTATTGTCTTTACTCACAATTCAAACTTGTGAATTTGTTTTTACGCGTACACCTTATTATTCTGTGGTGCAATGCAAAGCAATGAAGAACTTCCCCTTGCAGCTGAAGTTCTGAACCTTCCCTGTCAACAAAACCTGAACATCCCATGAACAAAATTTGTACTCTGTGATATCCTGCTGTTCTTCCAATACCGACCCCTCGCCGCTTTTCCAGTATTTCAGACCAGTTACATTCACTAGGTTAGCTAGAATCTTGAGCACTTCCAAGTTCCAACATATTACTTGCACCAATCTTATTTCGAGTGACATATCAGTTTTCTTTTACATAATATATTTTACACTTTGTGTGAGTTGTCATCATTTCTTAAATGTGGAGCGCTCTACTTTGATACTTTCCCCCTTGGAGGGGCTTGATTGGTTTTGAGCCAGGCAAGGCACGGCGTACGGGCATTCATCTTAGGCGTTCGATTATTAGACGCCTGGGGCCCTTAAGTATGTGAACAGAGTCAACTCTTTTCTCTTGGAAAGCGAGGAAACAAGGTGAACCAAAAAAAAAGGAGGGCTCTGTGAAATTATTCAAGGTTGAGAGGAAACAGAGCTTTCTTCACAGTTCATGTAGAGGATTAGCCAGATTAGACATGAAAAAAAAAAAAAAAACAACTGCATCCCTACGGCCTTACCTAAACAAATTCCAGAATTCCTCGGTGCAATGGAGTTGATAACCAGGAAATCTTTCTGCGACTCAATTGGATCAGTGTCTCTTCCTCCTCCCCCCCCCTCCCTCTCTCTCTCTCTGGCAGTCCAATACCTTGACCTATTCGGTATTCGGCTATTCCCATGTGGAGACAGTCACACGGACAAATTAGCACCTACGTATAGTAGTATATGCGAATTAGTAGGATCCAAACAGCTAAACTGCGACCAACCCTGTTCGCTTAATCGTTTCAGCCATGCTTACTCACAAGAGCCTTTCCAGCTTGCTGCGACATGTAAGATGATCAGGTTAATACCGAGGAGCAAAAATGCCACTTTACATACTCAAGCATGTGTTGCAATTTGCAATGTTCGGAACAAGATAGCAATGCATTTAATTCTGCGAAGAAGAACGTCACAAACTTGATTCACAGGTGAAGAAGCACTGCACACAATCTTACTATTATTAATTAGAGTCTCTAATGAAGGCACCATATTAATTCTCAATAGACACGCTAGACAAAAAAAGATAAATCCTAAAAAATCTCACAATAATCAGAAACATCTAGCCTTTAATCATCATCGCTAACAATAGCCGCTAGATCTATTCTAATTTATAAAAAGCTACCCACCTCTGTCATTATGAAAAATACCTAAATTAACCCTCTAAATTCACATCTAAACTACCCACCTATGCCATTATGAAATATAGTTCAAAATAACCCCCAAAATTTGTATATAAATTACCGACATATGAATAAAAAATAATTCAAAATAAGTCCATAAGTTTGCATATAAATTCCTCACTTTTCCATTATTAAAAATGATCCAAAACAAACCCCTAACATTATTACATCTAAGTTACTCATAGTTGTCATTATGATGATAATTCAAAATAACCTTCTAACTTCAAATCTAAACTATCTACATCTACCATTATGAATGATAATTTAAAATATGGCTAATGATTTTATAAAGTACCCACCTCCCATCGAAAAGGATAGATATGAAATCAAGAAAAATTAAAAATTAAAACGGAAGAGAAAGAAAAATAATAATAATAAATATTTGTTTGAAAAAACGGCCCAGAAGAAGGCCCGTGCGGGACTGCGGGTGCGCTCTCGCGGCGTGCCTGCGTCCAACAACCCCGATTGGGCCGGCCGTCTGCTGCATTTCTCCCTCTCACCCCCTAATTCATATGGGCCTGGTAAGCCCTCAAATCACCGCTTCGTGCAGTTTTCCTTGCGCGGGCTTCCTTCCCGCTCGCGGCAGAAAACCGCGCGCGCCGCCGCTTCGTCCGCCCGCACGCGCAGCTCGTCTCCCCGTCGACGCGCCGCCCGCACCCGGCCAGGAGGAACCCCCCGCATCCCTGCTCTCGCGCGGCCCTTTCCCTCCCCTGCATCCCTGCTCGCGCGCGGCCGCGATCCCCGTCCGCTCGCCAGCAGGAAGGAGACCGGCGCGGCTCGGATGTGCCGGAAGAGACCGGCGCCGCCCGGCTCCTTCCCCTCCCCCGCATCCCTGCTCGCCAGCGGCCGCCCATTCCTCCTCGTTGTATTTTTGCCATGGGCATCGAGTAGAGCCAACAAGGCAACAACAGAGGGAGGGAGTTAGCCCGTCATGGCTACAAAACGCCAGGGGTAGACACGGACACACACGTTCGCATGCTCCGGCCAGCGTCGGTCGGGTGACCGTAGCCGGCCGGGCCGCAGGTACGCCGCCATCATCATGGTCCCTTGTCGTCCCTGTGGCCACCGCAACGTGCCATGGACAACGTGATGGAAAAGTTCCCGCAGACCGCAAAGAGAATCTATCTATACGATTATTAGCCTCCAAAGCCTCGTCCCAGAATACTGGTATTAGGGTGTAGAGTAGACTAGGATGCCTTTGCCCAACTACTGGATATAGGGCAGGTCCAGAAGTGGTGTCCAGAGTGCTCCGGACATGTCATGATACGCGTCATCACTTTCGGAAAAAGAAAAAAAGGAGGCCTATCGATCGATCGAGCCGAGACCGAGATGCGTAGGCTGGTGCCGAAACTTCCGTCGAACAAAATGGATTCCACGCGACCACGCCACACCACCGATCGCCGCCGAGACGGTTGGTTTTGACAGCCAGCAGCGTGGACTTGCGCCTTGTTCGCTGGACTTATAAACCGTATTTTTTCAACCAACAAAAGCGATATTTTTCTCACAATAAATCGGAGCTTTCAACCAGACCAGGGCACTGAGCAGAGCTTTCGTAATCCCGTGCACGATCGGCTGGCCCTCTGGCAGGCCCCATCCAGCCATCCTCATCCTGCCTGTTGTGCTGGGAGTTGGACGCGTGCGGCCTAGGCTCCTCCACATCAAAGTTGAAAGTGGTGCGGTGCGGCCGTAGTGGTCAGGACTGGTAGTGGTAGTGCCGGCGACGCGCTGTCAGTGTCAGCGCTCGCTCGCAGCCGTGGAAAGAGGAAGAGGAGGCGCACGGCACAGGCACGACAGGGCTCTCATCATGCCGGGCTGCTGCTCGCGGTGCGGTGCTCCGCTTCGTTATGCCGGTGGTCGACCTTGCCTTGCCTCCCACCTCCTCGCCACTCCCGGCCCCCAGAATCATTAGCCTAGTACTACTCTCAAACGCCTTCTGCTCTGCTTGCTTGCTGGCCGCGAAAAAATGCTTCCGTTCGGCAGGGCAGTTGCCGCCCACCGACGACGAGAAAAGATGGGATGATGGATGCTGGTCCACATGGAATATCTTTTCATTTACTACCTACGAGCGTACAACTATAGATCTGGTTTAGAAATGAAAATGGCAGGAAGCTTGTTAGGCCGCCTAGAAATCACATGATAGGATTGTGTACGTTGAGAGTGAAAATGCGGGTGCTGCCACACGCAACTGATGAACTAGGGGCATGGCGTGCAGCGCGACAAATGCTAAACTGACGTTGACTCATCGATGCAGGGTGACCTTGCCCCGTGACCAAAAAGAAAAAGAATATGTATCCTAGGAGTATCCTACTCCATATGAGTTTTTCGGCTCATAGTTTCTGCGGCTGATAAGTCGGCTAAAATTATTTTATCGTGAGAAAAAAAACACTATACTATGACTGATAAGTCATTCTAACAAGTTCAAGCGAACATATATCGAATAGTTTCATGTGGCAGTTAGTAGGTAGGTATTGAGAAGGCAAGTAGAAGACCGGAAGAGGCGTGGTCCTCGGAAGTAACAGGTATCGATCGCTCGCTTTCTCGCGCGTCACGGCCGCGACTCCGTTTCGGTCTGCATCCGTGAGGCTGACCTCAAGGGTCTCAAAACGTTGGCCGCGGATCAGGCTGCTGCTGGGATCCGGGTGAGGACTGAGGACCGAGGAGACGGAGCCGTGGACGCAAGAGGCCTGACGCCGTACGCCACGGCCGGGGGCCGGGCGGATGACGCGCGCAAGGGAACAAGTTGGGGTTTTCTTTCTCCAAACTGAAAGTAGCTGCCCTTGCTGTTGCTGGACCCATAATCGAATCGACCTGACCCATCGGCTTAATCAATCCATCATCCTCGGCTCCTTTCTTCCTCCAACGTTTGATTCGTGGGCTGGTGATAATCAGAAGAAGGAAGCGATGACATGGCAAAGTTCGCGATTGATAGATGCACTAGTAGATATATATCCAATATCCATGGACCGGCGGCCGGCCGGACGGAGAATCTTGGCGTGCGTCAGTCGGGTCAGGCAGCGAGGCTTACTATACGTGATGCAGGAGCAGTCGATAACGAAGGAACCCAACGGGAAGTACTCCACCCTCCTACCAGTATCATTAGTTGGCGGCGGTTTTTCTGGTTGCGAGGTCCACGGGGGCAGGGGGGTAGTTAGCCGTCGCCGTCGGGGTCGGGGTCGGGGTCGGGTACTCGGGTCCGTCCCTGGAGAGCGCCGGAGAAAGAGAGGCTCGCGCAGCAGGCGCAGCATCCGTGCCGTGGACAGCGCCGGAGAAACAGAGTACGTGTTTAACCAGTTTCGTCTTTTGGTGCTACTAACCCGCCCGTACTTGGTGGGGGTTCATGGCAGGCACCAGCACCACCACAAAGCAGTGATTTTATGGTTCCCGTTCCCGCTGCGCCAAGCACCGTGCTGGACC